CAGAAATAGCCTCAGGTAAGAGAATTGTATCTTAAAGATCAGAACCTTACTGGCATTCAAAATGGGCTTTCCATCTGATTTCAACAATGAATGATGTTTCCAAAGCGATGCATAATCTAAACCCACAACCAAAAGCAGTATAATAGTCACAGCTTTTCGTTCAACAAATGCTTCTGTTAAAGTAACAAGTTCATCAGTCTGGGCTGAGATTTTCTTTTGGCAAAGAACCAGAAACAAGAGTTTCATGAAGAGAACAAACAGCAAACCCAACCTGGTTAAAACCTGTTTCAGGGTTACAAGAAGCTGAACCATCAACAAACAACAATGACGCTGGATTTTCCAAACACACATCCAACAAGTCAGGCCTATGTGTGCAAACTTAATTTAGCAGTTTAGTAGTTGCTTCTGTCCTCTGCTGCTAAGAATGACCTAAATAGATAATTGTCCTTAGACAGGGATGTTATACCCTTATTTGTTCACTTTACTGGTTTATTCATAATTTAGTATTTTATTTAGGTTATTTATTCTGCTCTCAATTACCTACCCAAATTCCACATGAACTGTTCCATGTGGAAAAAACAACATCTATTTGGATCCTTATGAGTTTAGGTTTTGTTTTTCTCTCTTTTTATATTTGTCATAAACGAGACAGATTGGCCCAGTATTCAAGGCAAGTCAGACAATGGAGAGTTTCAAAATTTTACTGACAGAAATGATTAAACAGAACAGAAACGTGGGCTTCTGAAGATAAGTGGACCACAGCAGCTGCAGAAGGGGGGCGGAGTATCGCCCAACCACTGACACTCTGGAGGTAGAAGCACAGGTTAATCACCATAATGATCGGACAGGAGATGATTTTCCGAGTTATCTGGTTTAAGAGTTCAGTCCATCCTCTCAGAGGAAGGCAAAATCCAGTCGATGGACTGCCAAACGAGATGCGGCTCAGAGCTGTCCCGAGTGTCCTCAATGCAGCAACCCCAGTGAGCAGGCCGGAGACTGATCCAGGTCAGAGAAACAGTTCAGAACCAGACAGTTTCGAGATCCAGGAGTCTGTATCCAGAACAGGGGTTCCGATCCAAGCTGGAACAGACTGATCCAGGGTTCCAGGACCTTCAGAGCGTTCAGTCAGGTTAAGAGTTCCATGGGACCAGCAGCGAGCACAGACACGCTTAGATGGAGGCAGGCAGGCTCAGTGGTTGAGGGACAGAGACAAGACATGGTACCAGAATTACTGCAGAACTTTATACTTAAAACTGGTCTCTACCTCTGAGCCAGGCTTACAGGAATTAAAACTGACCTCCCCCGTGTTCTGAGAAGTACCAGAACCTGTGCTCCTGTTGCATGCCAGGCCAAAATCCAGAGGACTCGGTGAAAAGGCAGGACACGATCAGGAGACAAACGGAAAACCCTCTAAATCCACCGGCCTCCGGGGAAGGGAACATGAACCAGGGGCTTAACTAAAACTCATGAAACATAAATAAGTGACACGAAAACATAGCACAAACTAAGAATACATGAACAAGCTAAGAATAATGATCTGGCCCCGATAGCTGAGCTGAACTGTATATATAGCAGAGGGAGCAGTTGAATAAGATAAATTATGCTTAGTGAGCAGGGAGCGAACAGAAGGTGAATGAAGTGAGTAATCAGATAAGCTACCAGGGCTGCGATCATTACAATATTCCTCTCCCCCTTTTTCTTCAACAGAGTAATTACCGTATGACCTGTTGAAGAGATATAAAATTTCAGTCAATTTAGCCTCCAGAAATATCCGATCTATGGATTCATTAAGAATAGTTCATTTTAAAACCTCCACAATTCATCTTAATATAGTAATTAAAAATGGAGTCTATATCCAATGTAACTTTAATCATTAATATTTGTCAGGTCTAAGCACCTAAAACATCATACATACATGCAGGGAAAGAAAGAAGGCACAGAGACAATTAATTTAGTTTACTCGCGAGGAGAGTAGAAAGAAACTGCGGAGTTTACAAATCTCCAACCCACTCTACGGTCCCAGCGTTCTCCTCGCTATTTATTGGAATCAGTGGTCCCTGGTTACAACAGCTGAGACTGCTCAAGAGATGGGAAACAACGTGAGGAATTCAGACTTGCAGTCTCAGTAAACATCCTATAAATTTCAGGGTTCAGTCAAAGTTTAAGCTGTTGAAGCTGTTCACCAAAGTTCAGCAGGTGGAGTGCTGCCCGTAGATCAACCACAGCCATCCCAAAAGCAAGTCCACAAATCACAGTATACTTCAGAAAAGATGGCTATAAACACATGCACATAGCACGCAGCTTTATGCATGATAACACTACACAGATACATTTATGTACAATTATTCTAACAATATTGTTGTAAAATAATATTATTTCTAATTGAGTCCTTAGAACATGGTATAATGATTAACAATTAATTGTGTTAAATACATTTTAATATGTACTCCAGTTCAGCTTAAGATAGATTTACTTCTCATTGAATTACTAGCAATTGAAAAGTTAATTCAATGGCATTGTCAGGCTAATTCATTTTTCATACCACTTATTTTGCTCTACACAAATAGATTTATTTTCCTTTAAAAAGTTCAATCAAAAGCTTAAAGAATTAAGATAAACAAGTAAAACTCTTAACATTAAGTAATGACTCATTTACTTGCTTATTTCAAGAAATGCCCAATTATTGTTGAACAAACAAAATCTGTTAGTTTGTTTAAACTGTTTCATTAACTTTTATTTGTTGTGATGTCAGAACATCATATCAATATTCCTAATTTAAACAACAGCGCATTAATCTTTAACACATTTAACTCCCTACTTTGTTTTGAAAACAGGTCAGGAAAGAATGAGCCACTGAAACTAAAAACTGTCATGTTTTACAGTTCAACTTTACGTATTTTCTATCCTCTATTTTCCAAGACAAAAATAGCTAAATTGTTATTTCACAAATATGCAACAGACAATCCACACAATCCCCCCCTGGGGTAGGCAGATTCCTGGAAACCTTAGCCTGCCCATCTTTACTGAGCCTCCCGTAACTGGGTCAACTGTAAAATGATCGCTTCTCAGTCTATTTATCCGCAGGTAATTTAACTCTAGTCAATAAAGCAAACCAGTTACTATTCTGCTGTAACCCAACGTTTTTTATTTTTATCATCCTACATTTACGTCTATGAAGTAGCTTTAGATGTCACTCTCTTTAAAACATACTTGCTTTTAATCTGCAATAAAAAATTATTTCACTCTCTCAGGAAAATATGTTACTTTAAATCAAACCCTCAGGAATTATTTGAAATCTGCCATTTTAGTTAATAAACTCATAGCTTTTATGTATTTTAGTTGCAAACTCCAGACTTCATCCAATAGACTTATTCATCTGTATTGTATCCTAGAATCTAGATCTCCTCTAATCTAGATTAAAAAACTTTGTGTCAGTCAGTCCAAGCTCTATTTCTCTTTTTTCCACCGGTCACACAGGCAGACCAACTTTGGGGCCAGACTTCTGGGAAACAGCACTTGAGGATAATAATAAAATCTGTATTTAGAATGTCTCTTGTGATATAAAGATCCTGAGGTTTTAAAAAATGTATCATATGAAACTCTAGCTTTAGAAATGAAACGGGTTGAATAAATACCACAGAAGCTGCACAATTAAAAACTGTCCCACTTTACCCACATTCACGAAGGCAATCATCAAGAAGCAAACATAATGTTGTGGTTATCATTCATGGTGTCGTGGTAAAATGAAATTTAAAATTACATAACATTGCCTGCCTGGAGTGAAGGATTGAAGTTGCCAGCTGACATCTATGAGGTGTACAGTGACGCTCAGGTCGTTATCATTATTGACAGATGTTCAGTGGTCCCCCGTCAGTTCTAAACACGCAACTTCCCAACTTTCTCCCTGGCAGGTAGTTTGTAAGATGGGTCACCTGTGGCCACCTGGAGAAGACCTTGAGTCCGTCATCTTCAACCATGCTGATAGGCGTTCTTAAAAATAAATCTCCCCTTAAGCAAACCCGGCGGCTTTATAGAGTAGTAGCCACTCAAAATTTCCCCACTTTCCTTGATGGGCCCCTGGCTGATTCCTGGCTGGTCCTTGGCTTGTCCCCTACAAATTATTTTTAAAAGTCTAAAATATTCTGTCTTGATTTGTGGACATTAAGATCTAAAGAGAAGCATCATCTCCTGGTCAGACCATGTACTTGAGTGAAAGGGTGGAGTCAGAATAAAAAAATATGCACACCCAGGAGAAGGCCAGCGGCTGGAAGTTGGGGGGGATTTTGCTGCCATTCGGCTGGATTTTGACTCGGAAGGGCCATTTTGAATGGCTGCTTCTTTAGCATCATCCATGTTAGTGCCTCACCTTCAATGTGTTAACAGTAGGTCTACACACAAGACTGATTTGTTCTCTCCTCTAGGTGTACATCTGCCCTAAGTCATATTAGCTATAGAACCAGATTCCAAACCAAATTTGAGAAAAGATTTACAGCAATATTTTTTTATCAACCGATTTATTTCAGTCTGGCATTAACGCAGCACATTAACGCCGATAAAGGCCCACCACTAGTAATGAATGAATAGGGATTTATTTCAGACAATTTGACAAACAACAATAATTAAATAAAAAAGAAAATACACACAAAATCAACTAAGAGTAATCTTACTGTTAATCTTCTTTTTATCCATTGTTTACACACATATATATATATATAGACACAATTATATACATATATACAAATATTTACATGGACATACATTGTATTTTTACATTGAAATGTAAACATACATATCTACACAAACGCATCAGTCCAAAATCCACATTTACACCCTTGTACATGGGCACTAAATAAATTTATCAGTTTTCTATCCTTGTTGTTATAAAACCAACAGCCATCTGTTCTGTCTCTATGCGGGAGGCAGAGCATCAACTGAGCTGGAACTTCTGGGTTTAGAGTTTCCTAAAGCCAAACCTATCCTCAGCTTCAGGGACATTTTCCTTTTTGTTTTTTGCTCAGAACATCCTAATTCACGCATTCATAAAGTACCACATTCACAGTGATGTTCAGACCAACATATCGCTTCTGAGCCGAGATAAAACAGGTTTCTCTGTGGGGGTTTCTATGTTCTCCCTCTGCATATGTTTTTTTTTTTTCTTCCTGATCTAAAAAAGCCATTCATGGTAATTTTACAGATAAACTGCTCTTAGTTGTGAATGCTCAGAGTGTAGAGAAGTGGGCTGTCTGCATAATAAATAACTCAACTTAATCACCTTTATATGACAGATCTGTCCTGGCTATTTGATTCCTGAGACCTTTAAAAAAAGAACATTAATCTATATAATTTTCTGTAAGATAAACAATAATTTATCTAAGAGGTTTATTTAAATTGTTCTGTTATTTCTGCATTCCCAATTAGCTACATCAGAACCTGCTGCTGCATCTTAAGACTCTTCATAGCTCACATGTTCTCCATTGTTCTCTTTTACAATCTGACCAAAGCGAGTCAGCAGCTCTGGAAGCTCGATGTCCTCCATCTTTAAGTATCTGTATCTACATTTTCTGATCAGTTCCTTGATTAGAACTTCTTTCATTTGATCTTGCACTGATTTCAAAATCAATAGAAACGAATGATCAAATGATCGATGATTAAAGGTTTTAAGGATTCTATAGATCCTGTTCTTGTCTTCATCTGTGAAGTTTTCAGGCTGTAGAACCAACAGGAACACATGCGGTCCAGGAGCAGAGGCCTCTGCACAGTCTTCAATAAACGCTGTCTGGTTCTCTTCTTTAGGAACATCTGGAGTGTTGATGACGGTTATCTTTGTTTTTTCCACTTCTTTACTGATTTTCAAACAGCATTGAGCTTCATCTTTAAAAACATCCTCTCCCAGTATGAAGCTTCCCACTGAGCTCCTCTGGGACCAGCTGCTTCCCAGCAGAACCACCCTGAGCTCAGACACTGAAATGACAGAAACAGGAAGTTAAAAGAACATTCAGTAAAAGTTAGAAAGATTAGAAAGATTTTCCGTGGGAAAAGGGGGAGGAAAAAAGTGTGATCTCCTTTTCAATAACTGCAAAATCCCTGAAATGCGGCTGAACCTCCTCATTGAGAGATGAAATGTTTTCTGCATACCTCCTCATTTACACACAAAAAATATTCTCTGGAAAACTGGTCATAATTTCCTGCAGTGATAGGAAATGTGTTGCATTGGGTTGCGTTTGTGTCAGCTGACTTTGGAAAAGCAGAAGCTTTGTCCCAAAAGCTTTAATGTAAATAATACAGCTGGCCTATCATTGCATTTTGCCCCTGAAGGCTGGTGTTCAGTACATTCAGGTGTTGTGTTATATCAACCACAACTCAAAAATCAGCCAAACAGGATTACATTCCGTCATTGTTCATCCATTTTGTTCCAGGAACAGTCAAATCTCCTTTCTGAGGGAGTAGAATTGTTGCATTGCAGACCCCTGATGGAGCCATCTTATGTCATTATGATATACAACATGTCAATATCCACGCTGGATATTGAGGAGAAACTGCTGAAACTGGCGGTGACACAGGGCGCTGGAGCGAATATGATTAATTGCCTTTATCATGGGTTTCATAACGTGATCATATTTCAGATGTTTAGCACAAAGAACTTGTTGGTGATTAATACAGTGAAGTTTTATAGCGTTGCCTCCTTCTCAGCTGACATTTTTGCAGACTAGCTTTGATGGCCCATTTTGCTCACCAACCATGGCAGGTGCGCCGTCTATAATAATCCCAGTGATTTATTCCATTGTAGTTTCATGTCATCCACGTTGAAACAAACAAGTTTACCATAGTTCATTAAAAAGTGCCCTCTTCTTCATTTTCCAATGCCAATTTTCGGACAATTTATCACTACATGTCCCCTCCCCTCTTCAAGTTTGTTTAGTCACTCTACCTTGCTAAGTGTCCTTGTTGTAATGCAAATAACTTGTGATATGACTAGCCCTGCTACATGAGACTGGATAAAGGCTGAAACAAACTGGCATCAGAAGAAGAGCATGCTCCAAACACTTTTCATTGCCTCAGCCTGCAACATCAGACCTTTTTGCAGGAATATTCTAATAAGTCATACCTAAATCTTTTATTTAGGCAAACCTATTGAACAACCAGATATCATACGGGTCCTAGTTCCTGAGCTGAGAACAGGTCATAGCCATGGTCTTCCAACAAGGCAAGGCAGAGCCTATTTATATTGTCCATTCACCAATAGACTCATTTATATTGTTGCAAAGCTCACTATGTAAAAGATAGAACAACTCAGAGAATAATTGTATTTTGTCTTGTCTCGCCTTTTCATGTCATTTAACATTTCAGCTTAGAGAATGACAAACAGTATGATTTCAGTATTGGAGTAACGTTTATTTCACCCAAGGAAAGCACTACATATGAAGCTAGAATTTTCCCATTTAGCAGTTTTTACCAACCCAAGGTGAGTCCTTCCTGCATTTGTGACAGGTATACTTGGTGTAGTGCACACAACGCTCAGTGCTGTGGTTCCTGTTGCAGAGATTGCACACCTGTCCTGCTTATAATAACAATGAAAAAATCTAAAGAATAGAGTTTAGCACACTTTCCCAAAGTAAGAGTTGTAGTGTGAACTAGATGAGGTTATCTGTGTGCTACAAGTTTGGTGGCACTACAATGATCTATAGTGTCATTATTGGCTATTATATGCTTATAATAACAATGAATAAATCTCCAAAAATATAGTTTGGCCTATCTTCCCAAAGTAAGAAAAAAAAAGAATGTTAGAACTGTAAATATACAGTCATATGTTTATAAAACTATTTTTTAATGTATTTATTACTGTTTTCAAAGCTGCACTTTAAAATATGAAATTGTCTGGAACTCCGTAAAAATTCAAAAAATATCCACTGGACTTGGTTTTCAAGATTTGAAGACGTTTCGCCACCTCTCCAGGAAGCTTTCTCAATTCAAATGTCTGGATCCGCAGTGAGTTTGAGTCTTTATATGGTCAAGCAACCCAGTCTCATGGGAAAATGTACCCCCACTACGTTGGTCCACACTGCAAAACGTAGTGGAGGTACATTAATGGCCATTTTTTTGTGGTACTGTTACGTTTCTTCTGCCTATACGCTTTCTATTGTTTTACGTCCTAGTCACGTGACTTTCAAGATTCCAGCTGGGAGAAGAAAAAAATATATATAGATGGCCGACATTCGCTCATTTTTTTGTGGAAGGATTAATAACTTGAGTTTGTTTTTGCATTAAAATGAGTTTTGATTACATTTCTAGTGAGAAATGTATAGTTTGTTGCCAGAATATTTACTCAGGGAATGTAGATATTCACTTGCTTGTTCGTTTCTTGCAAAGATTTTTCAAGATAATGTGAAACTGTAACATTTTGGTATAAACATGGCTGAGATTTCTCTAACTTTTAGTGGGAAAATCAATAATTTCAATCAGTTTCTGCATTTAAATGGGTTTTGATTACATTTATAGCGAGAAGTATAGGGTTTATTTACATAATATTTACTTAGTGAACATACATAATCACCCGCTTGCTAGTTTTTGCTACGGTTTTTCGGATCTCGTCAGGATTATGTGAAATTGCAACGTTTTGGCTGCTACCCATCGCCTAGCATTTAGCTGCCGCCCCGATTCAACATTGAATTCTTTGTGATTTAACTCCATCTGACGGATCAAACCCTCGCCACTGCATGCGTTGCGTCTGAGGTTGATTTTCAGATCAATGCATTACGTCGTGGCATACGGGAGAAACTAATTAAACTAGTTAAAAAAAGGATCATGGGTTAAGATCGGATGTGTTTTATTTGGAAATCTACCGGATCCTTTGTGCATTTAACTTCCTGTTTGGTGCGATCTTATTGATGGGTTTTGACCAGATTTTGACCAAAGAGGAACTAAAAAAAACAATTTGAATACACAACCAGCATATCTAGAATCAGTGACAGAGAGCGACTGGGACCAAAAGTTTATTAATTTCTCCGCATTGATTTCCATTCAAAATGTTTTCGATCCCACCGGGCTCTAGGGAAGGGGCGGGCATACCGCCACCTACTGTTCATGAGTGTGTAGCAACATTGTTTTACATCTATTAAATTCTATTTTTTAATTTTGTATTCTGAAGATAAATAAATAATGCTTTCCTTAATCTATAAATATCCTTAATATTTCCTTTATTTCCCAATAACCCTTTAAGATTCCATTCTTGGCCTGTCCTTTCAACTCTTTTTAATTTCTTCCTTTCAGGTCCAGATGTTTTAAAGTTCATCAATATATGTTCTACATTTTCTATCTCTCCACATCCTTCACATTTATCATCAATTTTCCTCCCTATTAAGTATAAATTGTCATTTAAATAAGTATGACCTACTCTTAATCTGATCATTATTATTTCTTCCCTTCGGTTTCTCTCATTAATATTTCTATTTAATACTGACTTTTGTACTTTATATAACCTTCTTCCTTTTTTATCTTCATTCCACCTTTTTTGCCATTTTTCAATTTCTTTCCTCTTAATAAATGATTTTCCTTCCCCTTTCCCTAAAGGAATTGTAATTGTTATTTGTCTACTTTTCATTCCACCTAACTTTCCATTAATTAGCTTGAAAACAGCACTTTGTAGGCACCCAGTTTCTCTAACAATGGCCCTTTTTGGGTCACGTGACTAGGACGTAAAACAATAGAAAGCGGATAGGCAGAAGAAACGTAACAGTACCACAAAAAAATGGCCATTAATGTACCTCCACTATGTTTTGCAGTGTGGACCAACGTAGTGGGGGTACATTTTCCCATGAGACTGGGTTGGGTCAAGGCCTTGTATTGCTTGGAAACATGCAAATGGTAACCGATGAATGGGTCGTTAGTTCCATCGTTAGCCTGTAATATCTGAACCTGTCTATGATTCTAGGGGTCGGTCGTTAAAGGGGGGATTGCCATTAAGGGGGGATTGTCTCCTGTAATACCTGAAACCTGTCTATGATTGTTAAGGGTTGGTCGTTAAGGAGGTATTGTTCACCGGCTGGAGCGGGTAGGTCCCTCGTTCCTCTGTGATGGGGTGGGGGGTTTGGTGATATCTGGAAGGGATCATGTCTATGATTGAATTGTATGTTTTTGGAAGCTGGAATCTGAGTCCACCACCTCTGTTTAAAGTTGTTTTTTCTCTCTTAACATAGATGGCTTCCTTCACGCCCCTCTCAAACCACCTATATTCTTTATCCAGAATGTGAACATTCTGGTCCTCAAAAGAATGTCCTTTGTCCACAAGGTGTAGGTGTACTGCGGAGTCTTGTCCAGAGGCGGCCGCTCTTCTGTGTTGGGCCATGCGTCTGTGGAGAGGTTGTTTTGTTTCGCCAATATAAAGATCAGAGCATTCCTCGCTGCACTGAACAGCATATACCACTCTGCTTATAGAGGTCCTGGGGGTTTTATCTTTAGGATGCACTAGCCTCTGTTTAAGGGTTTGGTTTGGCTTGAAATGTACTGGGATCTTGTGTTTGGAGAAAATCCTCTTGAGCTTTTCAGACACTCCAGCAACATAAGGGATTGTGATGTTTTTGCGTTTAATTTTCCCATCGCTGTCTTCTGTTGCGTGTCTTTTGGATTTCCTTGCTGATTTGATAAAAGCCCAGTTTGGATATCCACAGTTTCGGAGAGCATCTTTGATGTGTTTCTGTTCTTTTTGCTTCCCATCATGATGTTCTGCCCGGTGTTGTAAGGTTCTGATGACTGAGAGTTTGTGTTCCAGTGGGTGGTGTGAGTCAAAAAGAAGATACTGGTCTGTGTGAGTAGGTTTCCTATACACTTCAATGTTTAGGCTTCCATCTCCTTCCATGCTCACCAGGCAGTCCAGAAAGGGTAGTTTGTTGTCCTTGGCATCCTCTCTGGTGAATTTGATGTTACGGAATGACTATGACCTGGATGACTGAGAACCTTCATCAGCATATTGTCTGGAACTGTTCTAAACGACATTTCCTTTTGTTTACACTTGTGTACAAAAAATTACTAAATAAATCTAAGTCATAAGTAATTATTGGCTTTTAAATACTTATAATAACAACGAAAAAAATATAGAGTTTAGCACATTTTTCCAAAGTAAGAGTTGTAGTATGATCCACATGAAGTTATCTATGTATCCTACAAGTTTGGAGGCACTACAATGATCTATATTTAGTCATTGCTCATTTAATTCTTATTCAAATAATAAAATAGGTGTCATTTAGGCTTTTGGAAATTCCTCAGAAATGTATTATTTTCAAATCCAATACATGTGATAATAATCCACCTCTCCTTGGTGACGCTTTTGAATATTTCTCTCTGATTATTTTGCAACTTGCAGAGTTCGCTTCTCCTGCACATTTTTGGAGCAGTAAGCTCCCCATAGCGTCCAATGTAATTTTCCCAGCGCGACAGGAGACTCGTTTTCAGGAAACTACGGTTGTAGCTCACTGTCTGCCTTGCTCTGGTGTCTGACTGGTAGAATAAATAATTCGCCAACGAGTTATTAATCCGGAGAAGCCGAATTTGTGCATATATTGCCAGCGGAGGAAAGAGGAGAGAGAGATCGCTTGAGTTATATTACCCCCCAAATAAATAATTATTGTATAAATATTGTTGCTTTCTACAGCGTTCCAGCTCATGCAGCTATTTTCATTGTACAGATCAGTTATACACTGATGGCGTAGAGCTAGTTATATTTAATCACAAATATGATTCCCCCCCGTGGCAAGTTTCTCCAGCCACAGCGCTAATGGGGCATTTACATCTGAAAAGGGATTCATGATTTGATAAGTACTGCGGGGGGACTGGAGGCTGACGAAAATTCTAGTATCTCCGGGACTTTTAGTGTTATTTACTCTCACAGTAATATGGCACACAGTGGTGCCCTTTTCAGTTCAATAGAGAATAGGATGACTCTGTTTTTCAATGGCAACTAGTTATGAGACTGAAGGCACAAGTCTACTGCCGATCTATGGTGAAATATAAAATAGCTTTTTTGTATATGTGTATTATTGACTGTGGGAAACTGGCGTGCCACATATTCTGTTGATTTTATGACAGGAAGCATCAGATTTGGACACGGGCCAGATTTGGCCGGGGGCCGGGCTTTGGGCATGCCTGCAATAGACTGATGGTCTCTTTAGGGGTGAGATTGTTTTGCTGATTCATGTTCATGTAGTTGATAGTAAGCACACTATTTTGTAGAGAAGGGTACAGATCAGTCACACATGTTTTGTTTTTCATGCCTTTCCTGTCTTGCTCATATGTGCAGTGCCATGGCCTGGCAAGCCAGACTCATACGAAGTACACACGCCATATCAGTCTGCTAAAGAGCAGGATTTCAGAAACAGGGCTAACAGGGTCAGTGTCATCAGGTTACAACCAACCACATAATTACTGACATCATGCAAAAACTTGCGTTTTTGCATCATGTCAGCGTTGCACTACTTTTTTTTTATTTTGTCATCCATTACACATGAAGGTGAAAATAGCATATGCGTCTTTTTAAAAATAAATTACAGAAAACATATCAATTGTTAAGGTTTTAAGGTTACCTCAATCTTACTTAGGAGAGTGAAAAGGACATAATTAAAACATTGGTCTGATATGGTTGCCATCTTGCTGTCATGCTAGCAGAAAAGTAGAAAGGCACTAAGAGTGGCAAACTGTAAACTCCCACCTGCCCCATTGTGATTGGTCCAGCCAGTTTTGGCCGGAGTCTACAGAAAATTTATGTCAGCTTCAAAACCGGCCATTTCGGAAGAAACTTGCAGCAGCTTCAGTGGTAAAAACATTCAAAGTAAAACTTACGGTCAGGTGGTATAAATTCATAGCTTTTACTTTGTTTCACAGGTTCTGTTTCATCATCTGTCAAGACAAAAAAAGAAGCAAAGTCATTAATGAAACCAATATAATTTTAAACCTCTAAAGTAGAGCTGGAAGGTAAATTAATCTTCATATAAACAGTAATAAAGACTGCCACATATGCTGACAAAAATGCCTGAACAGACAAAATCATTGGGGTTGGGGGGGGGGGTGCGGGTTTCAGCGTGTGTGAGCTGTGATTGACACTCCATCAGACGCTCCTCTGGCTGTGATTGGTTGTTTTGACTCGTCCCGAATTATTCTTTCCAGATTGAAATACAGGCAGTAGGCGGTACCAATTGAAGCAGTTTTTTTAAACACGTTACATATCACATGAACTGCTGTCTGGGCATAGGGACAGTTTTAGCCAATATGACAAAAAAGTGATTTTTAAAAACTTACAGACTTCAGCTTTAAAGCAGGTTACTGGAGAAGTGGAATTCAGAGGGACTTTGACAGTGAGCTAGAGAAAAGGAGGTAAGAGGTGGCAAACACTTGATCTGTCATATAAGAAAAGGTAAAGGATGACTGGGAAGGTTGTGCTTGTGAATAAAAGCAAGAACAGAGATACAGGTCTGACAATAATAGAAGATCGGTATATACTGCAGGTTGAGAATCAGATCCTCCATGTCCGAGGCCATGGTCCTCAACCAGAAAAAGGTGGCCTGAGGACAGTTCCAGCTTAATCTGGAGGAGTTCAAGTATTGTGGGGTCCTGTTCACAAGTGAGGAGTGGATGGAGTGGGAGATTGTTAGATGCATCTGGGCTGTTGCTGCTATAATGCAAACACTGCAACGGTCTGTCGTGGTGATTTACCAGTCGGCCTACATTCCTACCATCACCTGTGGTCATGAAATCTGGATCATGGCCGAAAGAACAAGATCCGAAGGAGATGAAGTGGGTGATGACGAGTGAATACTGCAATATAATATTCAATAAGTGTCATATGACATTTTAATATACATTACAGTGATTGCAGCATAGTCACAGACTGAGGTTCTGGGTTTTATGTAGTTAACAACTCATTCTGTTGTTTGACTGGTAATACTTTTATTGCAAATATGTTCTGATACAAATTTATTTTTTGTGTTGTTTAGTGACATCTCTAATAGAGACCTTTATACCTCTAAAGGTAGAACATTTGGTTTGCCTGCATTTCCACCCTTTATGCTCGTCAGAGTCCTGATTCTTACTAATACTGTTTGCTGAGGTGTTTGCAGTAATAGAGCAACTCTGGATGAGATAAATAAAACATTTAGTTGATCTGCTAACTAGTCTCTTCCTGGCTTACAGTAGACTGCTCTATTCAACATGCTGAACTCGTGTGTGGTTCCAAAAGCATCCATCTGAATCGGAGAAGCTGAAGGTGCAATTTTAGCATAGTACTGACATCACATCCTGTATGACAACTGGGTCTCTCTTTAAAATGAGAGTTAATTTGTGGTGAATGTGGGAATGCTGGGGAAGCGTATTGCCCAAGGACACTGAAAGCCAGGCTTTAACCTTCGACCCTTTGATTTCAGGGAAAACTCATACATCCACCCCTGTCGCCTAAGGCAAACCGTGGTGCATTGTCCAAATATGGAGATAATATTAATCTTACTCTCAGGTGTTTTTTCACAGAAATGGCGTTGAAGGTGAAAAAGAAAAATTTTAAAGGTTTGCAGATCAAATTTCTGTTGACAGAGCAGAATAAAAGGACCAATAAAAAGCCAAGCTATGGGGAATAAATTACAAGAGCTGTAAACGCTTTGGTTGCACAGTTACAGAAGTAAAATAGAATACAAATAATATAAAAGGAAAAATCATTTCAAGCAAAAAACAGGTATTGAAAACTACAGATGGAGGCAAGATGTGCAACATATGCTGTAAATGCTTAATATGATTTCACCATCAACCAACATGACAATGCTCTGATAAATCTCCATTTAATCCAGGCACACATGTACTGTACATCTCTAGACTATGTTTGCAATCCCTTCATCTACTCTCCATCTCTCTCCTGCATAAATAAATATAATGTTGACATCAAAAATTCTCATTTAACAAAGTCAGACAGCCCCAAACATTCCATATTTTATATAAATAAAGCAAGTGTGACCCTTAGAGAAGGCTTGCTGAACTTTTTATCAATTTTTTTGTTCCAGCTGTGGCGGGTAAAGATTCTCAGTCATACAGGTCAAAAATAAAATAAAATAAAAAATCCACTGGACTTTGTTTCCAAGTTTGAAGATGTTTTGCTTGCCATCCAGGAAACTTTTTCAATTCAAAATGTCAGTAATGTATCTAAAAGGGGGTTATTAAAGGGAATTGTTGGCCTGCCTGAACAGGCGAGGTGTTCTGTTCCCCTACAATGCAGCGATAGAGTTGTTTCCTTCCTGCTATCATCACAACCCCCACCCCAATACAGGGGAACAGAAGACCTCGCCTATTCAGCCAATAATTCCCTGTAATGACCCCCTTTCAGGGACATAGACAGGTATGGAGCATTGCAGGCTAACTAAGAAACCAAATGACCCCCATTCCTAAGGGGGGGGCTAGTTTGGCAGTTTCAATTTGCATGTTTTCTAAAGTCTTTGTTGAGCTACTGTATAGGAGCCTTGAACTCAACGCTAATTCTGACATTTTGAATTGTAAAAGCTTCCTGGATGGGAAGAGAATGTCTTCATACTTGAAACTTGATACTACAAAGTCCAGTGGATTGTTTTATTTTTTTTTTTTTACTTTTTTGGAATGTTCCAGCTGTTGTTGTGTCTGTTCTTTTTTTTGACAAAGGTAACAACAAATTAAATCATTGTCTCCTGGTTACCATAATGCCAGCTGCAGGTTTGTGATAGATAGTTCTGTCATCAGCAAATAAAAATTTTATTTACTAGTGCAGAGTTGTAAACATAATGGAATAAATAAGTAACAACAAATGTGGTCATTTAGTGAAACACTAGTTTTGGGATAACAGCTGACTAATTGAGCTCCTACTCAGTCTGGAGAGCTAGGAAAATGTGTTAGTACTTCAGGGAAGATTAGAAATAGAAGAAAAATGCAGCATTTTCTCCTAAATCACTCATACAAACGGTCCTTGCATCTAGAGGAACAGAGAAGGTCCGACAATCATTCCATGAAGAAAACTAGAACTGATAACTTATCAGATCCTCCAACCAGAATGGCCGTAAAGTCCTAACTGACTCCATCCATTTAGTGGATTTCAGCTTCATGTTTACTGTTAACTTTTTACCAAACAGTCAGAAATGATGAAATATTTTAAAGAAGTTTGAGAGAAAAAATAATTTGTCATGGAAACATTGATTTCTCATAGTTTAGATCAAATCTTTCTTTATTCTCAGTCCCTCATTATTACTCTCTACTCTTTCATAATAACTCAATATCCCATAATACTCATGACCCTGTATCTGGGCTGTTCTAACTGTTATGGTTTCACATCTGCAGAACTTTAACAGAACAAAGTCTTCATTACATCAGTGTTGTTTTCGTCAACGATGACGAAATCATTTCGTTGATGCTTCTTTTTTTTCATTTTGATAACGAAACTTGCCAAGCTAAATGTGCATCTTTGACGACTAAAACATGACGAGTCATAGGTTTGAATTTTGTCAACTAGACGAGATGAGACAAATTAAAAACAGTGGGTGACGGTCAGACGTTTAAAATGCATAGTCGTGCTGTAATCACGCAGCCGTGCTGTTTCCTCCTGTTTGATCCTGCCACCCACCTTCCACGCAGCGTTGAACACGCTGCAGGAGCACATATGGATCATGGCAGCAGCAGCGGCAGGATCTGAGAAAATAACCTGAAATGTTCCTGTACTGCACGCTGACAAACTGCTCTGCTCTTGCATCTGTTCTTGTGCAGAAATGTTTTTGCAAGCGGAGCTCTGAGTCTGCGCTTTCCTCTCCACTCTGATGGTTCACTCTCAGCAGTATGGCTCTTCCATCGCTACTTCATAAACTATGCAGCTGATCATCCTCTGCCAAGCGTAAAAACCCCTTTGTCTAACTATCAAGGTTATCTTTTATGAGAGCTACACTATATTGCCAAAAGTATTTGCTCACCCATCCAAATTATTGGAATCAGGTGTTCCAATCACTTCCATGGCCACAGGTGTATAAATTCAAGCACCTAGGCATGCAGACTGTTTTTACAAACATTTGTGAAAGAATGGGTCGCTCTCAGGAGCTCAGTGAATTCCAGCGTGGAACTGTGATAGGATGCCACCTGTGCAACAAATCCAGTCGTGAAATTTCCTCGCTCCTAAATATTCCACAGTCAACTGTCAGCTGTATTATAAGAAAATGGAAGTGTTTGGGAATGACAGCAACTCAGCCACGAAGAGGTAGGCCACGTAAACTGACGGAGCGGGGTCAGCGGATGCTGACGCGCATAGTGCGAAGAGGTCGCCAACTTTCTGCAGAGTCAATCACTACAGACCTCCAAACTTCATGTGGCCTTCAGATTAGCTCAAGAACAGTGCGCAGAGAGCTTCATGGAATGGGTTTCCATGGTCGAGCAGCTGCATCCAAGCCATACATCACCAAGTGCAATGCAAAGCGTCGGATGCGGTGGTGTAAAGCACGCCGCCACTGGACTCTAGAGCAGTGGAGACGCGTTCTCTGGAGTGACGAATCGCGCTTCTCCATCTGGCAATCTGATGGACGGGTCTGGGTTTGGCGGTTGCCAGGAGAACGGTACTTGTCTGACTGCATTGTGCCAAGTGTAAAGTTTGGTGGAGGGGGGATTATGGTGTGGGGTTGTTTTTCAGGAGCTGGGCTTGGCCCCTTAGTTCCAGTGAAAGGAACTCTGAATGCTTCAGCATACCAAGACATTTTGGACAATTCCATGCTCCCAACTTTGTGGGAACAGTTTGGAGCTGGCCCCTTCCTCTTCCAACATGACTGTGCACCAGTGCACAAAGCAAGGTCCATAAAGACATGGATGACAGAGTCTGGTGTGGATGAACTTGACTGGCCTGCACAGAGTCCTGACCTCAACCCGATAGAACACCTTTGGGATGAATTAGAGCGGAGACTGAGAGCCAGGCCTTCTCGTCCAACATCAGTGTGCGACCTCACAAATGCGCTTCTGGAAGAATGGTCAAAAATTCCCATAAACACACTCCTAAACCTTGTGGACAGCCTTCCCAGAAGAGTTGAAGCTGTTCTAGCTGCAAAGGGTGGACCGACGTCATATTGAACCCTATGGATTAGGAACGGGATGTCACTTAAGCTCATATGTGAGTCAAGGCAGGTGAGCAAATACTTTTGGCAATATAGTGTATGTCTCTCATAGCTCTTGTTTCTGTTGGGATCTGGAGATCTGTCCACCTTTCTCCAGCAGAGGGCGCCCTAGGTCTCCTGGAGCTGAAGCTGACTACCACACCTGTGGCTGATTTGCTCATCAGGGAGATCAGCATATGAGCAGCGGCAGGACTACTCTTCAGCACCAGAGTGTTAAGCCAGTTACGGTTAGCAAGCCTGAGCCAACCAGCCTGCCTGATTCTCTGACTCCCTGAAAGCCTGACTTGAACCTAATCATTTTTCTGTCCTCTCTGCCTCCTAGGAAGAATCTGACATAGACCTGGAGCTCTGGAAGAGCTACTCAACTGAAACCTGCCTGCCTGCTCTCAGTA